TGGAATCTGGGTTGCATGTTGGCACAGTCTGTGCCAAATCTCTTGAAAGGCACCCCGGGGAAGGCTCCTAATTGAGACACATTTGTAGCGGTGTCAGAATCAGGGCCAAGAACTCCCTTTCCAGCTTGCAGCATTCCTATTTTTCATTTAATGAGGGCTTATTTTTAGCTACCCAGTAAGGTGAGTTGATTCTCCAGATGCTGGGCGGTCTCCATCAGAAGCTCATCTCGGTTGTCGAGGGATGCCTCGGCCTCATGCCGGAAACTGGCCCATCGCCGGAAGTCCTCTTCAGTTAGGACCTATGGGATAGGAATAGGCTCGTTCACAACTCTGAGTGGATCCCTTCTCCTTCCCACGTGCCTGTTTGAGCTTCTCTACACAATTAGATGGGGCCTTCTCCTCAATGATTGCTTTCTTGAGTGTACAAATCAATGGAGGATTGATCCTCATGTTCCATTATCACCAAACATCTGTTGAGCTCTTGCCCTGCTCTGGGCACTGAAGGTATAGTAATGATCAAGACAGACAAGATTCCTGCATGCCTGGGCTTATGTGCTACTGGAGGGTGAGAGACACTGTCCAAGTAAATAATTAAAAATAATAGGTCATTTCAAGGAATTCTATGCAGAAATTAAAGAGCGTGATCTGAAGATGTGTGTGTGTGAAAGAGAGAGAGAGAGAGAGAGAGAAAGAGAGAGAGAGAGAGAGAGAGAGAGAGAGAGCGGGAGAGAGAGAGGGAGACTGGGTAGAGGGATAGCTGTGGAAAGAGAGGCTATTTCATTTGAATCTTCAGGTCTCTTAGACAAGGCGACATACAAGTTGAGAGCCAATGACGAGAAGGGTTCAGTCATGGGGAGGGGCAAGTGCAAAGGCTGTGAAAAAGCAATGAACTTGGTTTCATCTATTCCTTGTAAACACCAGTTGGCCGAAGGATGGAGAGTCAGGAAGAGAAGAGCCAGCAATGAGGCTGGACAGGTAAGCAGCATCCAGGTCTTGCACAGCCTGGTAGAATACTCCACCAGCTATTGGAGGTGGTACCCCAAAGCCGGAAGAATACAACTAGAGGACATATCTTCCTCCCTTGGAGTCCCATAGTACTTTAGACCCCTGTGCTGGAATTGCATGAATACAGCAATGAATTTTCCTAGATTTTCTCTCTGTGAATGGCACATAGGGAAAACCAAGGGGACATGAGTAGGTCTTTTGCTCTTGTGAAATTCACAGTTTTATTAGAGGAGACAAAATAGGCACAAATAATTTCAACGGAAAATAGAAGATAATATAATTACAGCTATAGAGTAGTAAGCACTAGTTGCTGTCCCATGTATACATGTTAATCTTCATGAAAACTGTATGAGGTAAGGAGCGCTGACACCATTTCATAGATAAGAAAATCCAAAACTCTGAGAGATGAAGAAATTTGCCCAATGTCACACAACAGATAAGTGGCGAGATTGAGACTTGTACCCAGGTAGGTCTGGCTTTAAAGTGGGTGCTCATAAACTCTTACATTTTTATGGTTGCCTAAGGACCATGAAAGAGATGAGCTCTGGGGATTTATGGAGAAATAAATCCAGCTATCTAGCTCCATCATAGCTCCCTCCCTGATTTTAGGTGCTCTGGGACTCTTAACTCTCTGTCTGCCTCACCTGCAGAGGCTGCCAAGTTAAAGACCTGCAGGAGGTGAGGTAGGTAATCTACATGACTATAACTGGGGCAAGGGAAACAATAGGGAATAGTGGGGACTGTGGCCAACCACAACACAGCAGAATACATTTCTCCTCAGGGATCAGCTGCTACATGCCTGTAGCTATTTGTTTCCATTCGAGAATGGAGACCCACTTTGACAGCTCCTCTAAATTTTTGGGAGAAACCAGAAATCTAGATTTTTGGGTAATCACATAAAATCTCCCAAATTCCCAATCTATGCAAATAATGCAGATTTTAAAAGAATATGCTGAAGGCAAAATTATAACATTAAACATTATTTTATGAGTTAGAGGTAACCAATTACGTATACAAATAGCCACACTGATATGGAACCTTGCCATTCAGATTTCTGCCCCAGCAAAACTGTCAAAAGTCCTGGGTCTTTGTGGTGAGTCAAAATAGCTAAGTTTGAAAATGTAAAAGCAACCCACATTAAGGGTCTTCTAAAAAGAAGTAGAAAAGATAAAATCGGGGTTGCGGCCCTGCACGTACTTAACGAGGAATCTGTTCTCACCTTCTTGGCGATGCACAGCGTTCGAAGACCATCTCTTGCATACAAGTCCAGATGCTTCTGTGTCCGGGCTCGGATTTTCCTCAGTTTCTTTTCCACATCAGTGTCAGTCACTGTGAAGGAGTCATTGTCCCGCATGAGGTCATATACAAATGCTCAGGGATCCCCATTCTTAACATCCTGGAATCTTTAGTGGAGAAATCCCCTCACAGCCCCCCACAGAACCAGAGGGACTCTCCTGGCTGTCAGGGTGCCCAGGAAGGTGATCTCTGGGAGTCCTTCCATTGTCTGCTCTCTCCAGCTGATCATCACAAGCTTGGCTGAGAAATGCACTACTTAGGAGGGTAGGTGGTCCAAGGTGTTCTTACCAAACACCTGTCTGCATCAGAATTATCTGGGAACGTAAACAAAAAAGAGAGATTCCCAGGTCCAGCTGAAGCTCTGCTGAATCAGGGACCAGACAGCTGGAGCTTTATTATGACCCCAGGTGCTTTCCTTGTAGCCACTTTAGCCCTGGATGACCAATGGTTTGCTAAGTGTTGGACATCCTATCCATCACCTTCTCTGTCATCTACTTCAGTCCTTATATCCAGTTAGGTTCCAAGACAGCTTTGGACTTGAATCTCAATCCTAAGTTCTTCATCACACTGCAAGAAATGGTCTTAGAAAAAAAAAATTGTTTGCATTTCCTACCAATATAGTGTTTAGAATGAAAAAGACTTCACTGTGTTGCTTATGAAGTCCTACATCATACATTTCTTTTAGAAAAAAATTAATCTTTTTCTCTTGAATTCTAGTACTTTTATCTACCAGAAAAAAGGAATTTTTCATCCTGGGTTTGTGGGTATGAGGCAGGATTGATGCTATCGCCACTTACTTTATCTAAGATGTCCCAGACATCTCTAATCAATTGCAGCACTTTATAAAGTTAAGTTTGGAAAAAGCTTCAGTCCTTTTTTTTAAACCAGGGCTACATTGAGATCTTCAGAGGCCCTAAGTAGTAAACAGGTTTCGGGCATCTCATCCATCCCTTCATATAGTGCAAAATTAAAAATACAATGTTTAACAGTAAGATAAGTATAAGAAAGCACAATGAGCTCTGATTTCCCCCGTGATACTATTCTACGGCTGTTTTTATATCCTGCAAAAATTCTTTCAAAGATTACTTTCTCTTTTTTCAGAAGGTGTGACTGTTTTCTTAGTGCCTGAAGCACAGTCTTTATGCATTGTCTTATTGAGCACTATTTGAAGTATTTTATTCTCAAAGACATCAGTGCCTAAGATTAAACCCTTTTGCCTTCTATCTGGTTACCTTTGAATTGACCTTTTTTTTGCTCAGGCTAACAGAAACCTCATGGTCAAATTGAACGTTCAAACACCATAAATATGTTACACCTAGGGTTAGTTCTCCCCTTCCTTTTCAAAGCTTTAGTCCTCAATTCTTAATAGTAACATTGCTCATGTGTCTTTTATTGGAAGCATTCTAATCCATTTTGCATTCAAAGTGAGGAACAAATAAAAAACCATCTCCAGGGCAGCGTTGATGGCTGTTGCCCAGGAACAGAATACTGTGGCTCCCTTGACTCCGAAACACGGAATTCACTCCTCTGCCAGAGTCTGGGGATAAAGAAACCTAATCAGCTCCCTTCCCATTCTAAACGCTCATCCATCCTCATGAACCTCTTGGCTTTGATCCATAGCTGGTAATGCAGGAGGCACAGGGCTGCCTGGCAATTCTAAAGCTTGGCTGGAACCTGCTACTCTGGGAGAATCATAGCCGCATAACCATCTTCTCCTTGTTACCCATCCAGAAGCGTCTGTGCACTAATTCATGCTGCTCCAAAACTAGACACTGATAGCTAGGGATCATGGAACATTTTTCTGGCTTGGTGCAAGTTTATGGAAATCCATTTGGGAGAGGCTGGGGGAAAGGATGATAAAGAGGGCCACCTGAGGCTTCCCAGAGTGCACTGAGCCTGGCAGGGAAGTCTGGCGGCATGGAAGGCCTCAGGGTACCCGGGCCGAGGATGTGTCACTGGTTACCTCGCCTCCTCTCTGAGGTCACGTCCCTCTCTGGGTTCAGTTGGTCTCTCTCCAAAACTAAGAATGAGGACCACAATATTTTTCTAGGATATGTTAATGGATGTCCTGCTAAAATATAGTGTATGGATAATCCATGTTTAAATGAGTTTGGAAAACTAGAAATGGGGATAAAGGAGTTAAAGAGACTTGCTCTTACAAGACCTCCCCAAGTCTAGCTCCCAAGCTCTGTCATTCTCCAGGTCGAGGGCACGTGGAATGAAAGAAGCGAGTGTTAGGAACTGCTGTGAGGAAAGCAGCTTGTGGCCCGTGTTCCTGGGGATCTGCTGGGCTGAGTAGCGCTGTAACTTGAACTCATCATTCCCCTCCCAAGCTGCCTCCTAAACCACGGAGCCCTCTCTTCCTGGAGCCCTGGTGAGGGGGGACTCACCGCGGGCCGGGTCTTCCAGCAGGTCCATGATAACCGAGTCGGCGCCCTTGGTATAGACGATGATCTCGCTCGTCAGCGGGTGCCTCACAATTACGGACATCCTCTTCCTGACAGAGTCAAAGCCCAGGGTGCAGAGGACATCGAAGGTGAGGCAGGTGCCCTGGGGCAAGCGCACAGTCACCTGCTCCGGCGTCCGGGACACCAGTGTGAAGCTGTAGGCATTGGCGGCGTGCACCAGGGCAGCCTCGTCAGGGCTCTCGGCCTCGTAGCAGAGCTCGGGGCTGGCCGGGCCGAGAGCAGGGTCCTCCGGCACCTCCTCCAAGGAAGTGCCCGACCCGGACGCCAGGGCCTCACCTTGGTCCCATGTGCTGCTCCTGTAGCCGCCGTCAGTATCAGTTGAGTAGCCTCCACTGCACACAGACGCGTCGTCTCTGTCTTCCGAGTCCGTGGGGGGCATGGTGGTCCCCAAACTATCCCCCAGGTCGGTGTCGGAGGGCGCGGTGGAGGAGAATGATTGGCTGAGGCTGGAAAACTTCAACTTCTGGAAGAGCTGGTGGATCTTCTCCAGGGAGGTCCCCAGAGCCTTGGTCGAGGGTGGCATGGTGACCTTGGGATCAAAGGAGGGAATAAGAACATTACTCTCAATATTGGGGGGAAAAAGTCATGCGGTCTGTGGCAGAATCTGCAGGTCATTTTGCAAGAAATGTATTACTTGGGCCCTCTGTGGTCATGGGCAAGTCTTCTCCTCTAGGTGAGCCTCAATTTACCCACCTGTAAAATGAGAGCATCAGGCCAGATGTTCCCTCTAGCCCTGACATGCCTGTGATTGGTAATGACCATCCCATTCTAATCAGAGATAAAGGAAAGAAAAGGAGACAAAAGCCAGACCCATAGTAAGAGTCCACATTCCCCATACCCTTACCAGAGCCTTTATCTTTGCACCCGTCATCTCATTTCATCTTCCCTAACTTTATAGGATACTATCATTATCCCAACTTATGGACGAGGAAACTGAGGCACAAAGAGGTTAAATAAATTGGCCATCACCACCCAGTGTACAGGGAGTAGAGCTGGGCCTCAGGCCTGGTTCTGTCCGACTCCAGAGGTTGGAACCTCCAGCGGCCAGCTAGCTGAAGCCTCCCTGTTTACTTAAAGATTAAGAGGCGGATGCTGTCCTCCCCAGAATGGTGCTCCTTCCTCTTGAAAACAGAGTTCTCAGGTAACGCTACCTTCTCTCAAAGCTCCCTGAAGACTTCTGATAACCTGGTGACTTTAAGGCGGCTGAAGTGACTTCTCAGGGTGGTTTGGGATTGGGATATAAGAAGGAGGGGTGCTCTGAGTTGGTGCCTGGGTGAACCTTTTTCTTAATTTCATAGCCACAAATTATAACACCCAATTATTCTCCTCAGGTACTCACAAGGGAGCCTGGGTGAGAGTCAGTGGATAATTAAAGACACAGCTAATTTCAGTACTAAAAAATAATTCAAAGTCTAATCTCCTATAAATGGCCATCCAGCTGCATTATCTCCCAATTGGCAGAACATCACACATGGCAGTATTTCTTCTAAACCCCATATAAAAGCAGAGACCAGTGTAATATGCTGTTATGGAGTCATATAGATGGTTCTGTCATGTATTAACCATACATCTTTTGTTGAATTACTCAAGCTCTCTGAGCCTGTTTCTTCACTTTTTTTTTTTTTAACTTTGGTGGAATCTCTTTTATTCTTTCTTTTGTAAAAATATATTTTTATTGATTTCAGAGAGGAAGGGAGAGGGGGAGAGAGATAGAAAGATCAGTGATGAGAAACTCATTGATTGGCTGCCTCCTACATGCCCCCTACTGGGGATCAAGCCCACAACTTGGGCCTGTGCCCTTGACCAAATTGAACCTGGGACCCACTGAGCCAAACTGGCTAGCACTGTTTCTTCACTTGTTAAATGCAAAGCCAAACAGCGTAGGATTGTTGGGTAGTGAGGATTAAAAGATAATGTAGCCGAAGTGTTTGGCATGGAGCCTGGCATGTAGCAAGTGCTCAGTAAATATTAACTCTTTAAAAAAATATATATTTTATTGATTTTTTACAGAGTGGAAGAGAGAGGGATAGAGAGTTACAAATATCGATGAGAGAGAAACATCGATCAGCTGCCTCCTGCACACCCCATACTGGGGATGTCCCTGCAACCAAGGTACATTCCCTTGACCGGAATCGAACCTGGGACCCTTCAGTCTGCAGGCTGATGCTCTATCCACTGAGCCAAACCGGTTAGGGCAATATTAACTCTTAATATCTACCCTGCAGACATAGACACAAAATTTGAAAGCTACATTGAGAGTTCATATATAACTTTTTCTATTTTACTTAAAAATGAGGAAACTAAGGCCCAGAAAGGGTAAGAGTTCAAAGTCTCAGAGGGATGAAATGGCAATACTGTGGCTAGGGCCCAAGTGTCTTGTCTTCCTGTTCAGGGTGTCACCCCTTGCCCTTACCCTTCCTCCCCTCCCCTGCCACTCCCTCCATCACCGGTCCTTACCCTCTGCCTGGGCTCAGTGGTTGTGGAGACCATGACGGAGTTGCAGATGGTTAGGGCGAGGAAGAAGTCAGCGATGGAGGAGGTGGTGGAGAGGGAAGCCTTGGCAGGTCTGGAGTCTGGCAAGTTCTCCAGCCACAGGGCAGCATCTTGTACCTTGGTCAGTAGGTTTTTATCTGGAGTCACATCTTTTTCCTGAGAGAAAAAACTTGGTGAGTCTTTCCTAAAGGGACTCGGAGGAAGCCTCCCACCAAACCCCAAACACACCAGGTTCTTTGCATGCCTGGGGAGAGGATAACAACCTTCCCTGTACTCTTGAATCCAGACGACGCCCCCTCTGCAAGCCCAGTCACTACCGATTCTTATTTGATTCCTCCCTCTCCCTCACCTCACATGCCCATCAGGTATAAGCTCTGGCAGTTCTTTCATTACATTGTCTCCCCACCATTTGTCCCTCAGTCCTGATGCTACCAACAGGCTCAGATCCTGTGGCCTCACTCCTGGATTTCTGCATCACCTCTAAGCTGATGTTGCTGCCTCTCACCACTTTTCCTTCTAACCCTTCACATGTATCTCCCGCGCATCTTTCTAAACACCATTTCCTCAGGTACTCTTGAGCTCAGTAGACCTTCAGGAGATCTTCATCGCTGGCACAATCAACTTACTCTGTCATCTAAATTTTTTTCGCAGTCTCTGTTCCCACCACTTCTCAACACAGACCATCAGCTTAGCCGGGAGGTGTGTTTGCTGTCTCCTGGATGAATACTCCCATTCTATGCCTGTGATCTTACCTTGTTTGTAAGTCCCCTCCTGTCTACCAAAATCCTACCTGGACTTCAGTAACCATGAAAAGCATATGGATTGTTATGGTAAGCTTTTTCAAATGCAACATATGTCCCAAGGGGGGTGGGGTGGTGGACCTCAGTGGCCTAGCGAGAAGGGAGTTTTCCACCTCTTATGAATAGGATCACCGCAGCCATGCATCCCCAAAAGGGACCCTGGGGGCCAAGGGAAGCACAGTTGAGATGGCCTTCATCTGTCCCTGCCTGTGTGGTCACATCACTTTCAAAAGATTTTTCTGTGCTTGGCTGATTAAATCAGTACCTAGCCATCCAGTGTGTGTGTGTGTGTCCGGGGGTGTGTGTGGCAGTGTGGGTATGTGGGCTGTCCACCCATAGGAACAGACTGGAGTGCTGCGCCAGTCTCTTCCAAAGGAGGAAAGGAAGACCAAGATGAAGGACGAGGCAGAGGGCCAGGGTGTTCTTTCCGGAGGGGTGGGAGGGGCTGCGCCCACAGAAGGGAGTGGTGATATGTTCGAAGACTGGATGGTCCCCAATGCAAATTTTATGACCAGGAAGATATTCTTTGGTCTGATGGTTCTGGAAATCTTTTGCAAGTGGCACTTTTAAACAAAGACTCTCTGCTCAAATCTTGGCTGCTTGAAGACCAAGAAAAAAAAAGGGCATTTCATTTTCTATCTGCCAGTCTATTAAACACTGGCTCAGCCCTCACCCTGTCATAAGTGTGCTACCCCACCCTCAGACCACAGCTTTTATAGCAGCCTATTAGGCAAAAACAACCCATGCTTCCTTGTTCTTTGTAGTAAAAAAAAGAAGCCAGCTTTTGTTGTTAATGTTGATACTCATTTTGTTTTTGGTTTAGAGCCAAGAGCCAAGGAGACCAAGAATGGGCTCCTTTAGAATGTGCCCTGGTGCTCCATCACGACTTGGCACCCCGGGGGATTCAGAGGCAAGTTCTGATGGTGTTTACAAAGGGAAGTACAGACCTGGCGGTGCCAGGAGATGATGGGACCAGCTGACTGCCAGATGGGCAGGTGGCAGAGAGGCAAGTTCAGGCCCCTGCCAAGAAGTTGGGGGGCAGGAACCAGGAGATCCTCTGGGGCTGCCCCCAACATGGTCCATAGACTCATTCCAGGATCTGCCACTCCAGCCACAGATATTTTATATGTAGTTAGAGCCCTTTAAGGAAACATAAACCACCCCCTTCAGCCAATGACTTCCAAGCTGGAGAAAGAGCCTATTTGAGATAAAGGTAGATGATTTCCTAGCAGGGGGCTGGTATGCTTACAGAGGTCCTCATCTTGGTTGCTCACTAGAACATCAGAAATAAAAATTTGAGTGCTCGGGCCCTACCATAGACCAAATAGGCTAGCATCTCAGAGGAGAGGGCTCAGCATTGCATTTTACAAAGATGCCCATGTCCCCAGAGACGGGATTGTTTGTCCAAAACAGAGCTTTCTCTCAGAACGATAACTAAAAACTTCGATTAGTTACCCATCCATCTAGAATGCATGATTTGAATAATTAGATCATCCAAAGAAGCTCAAGAGGCAGAACAGTGATGGAAATGTGGAGACTTCCAGCTGGGCAAGTTGACCGAAGCCACAGAGCTAATAATGGTAGAGCCGAGATGACCCCAAACGTGTCTGACTGGTAGCTGGAAGGGATCTTGCAGGTCAGCACCAACATTATGCTATTTGAGTTTTAGAACAGCTGGTGAGAGTTGTAAGTAAATTATTTTCAGGTAATGAAAGGGATAGAAAGGGGTCTGACATGTTGCTATGGTTACCCAGCAAGCCAGTAGCAAAGCTGAAATGAGAACCTACGTGTCCTGACCCTTAGCCCAGTGCCCTTCCTACCTGGGGATGCTATTGTCCCACTAACCCCAGATCTTCAAGCAAACAGACTGGAGAATGATACACGTGGCAGTTCGTAAAGAGAACGCGCCACCATCTGCATCTGCCTAGACAACAAGGATTTGCTGTTAATCTGTGTGTCAGTTTCCTTATTGTTCTGGAATGAATTTAGAACTGCCTTTAGAAGTGCTAATCAGGGCGGAAGGTGACATCCAGGATCTGGATATAGCTCAGAGGTTAATGTGTCCCTTTCACTGGCCAGCAAGCAGCGAAGGGCCCTGAATAGAAGTTAGACTGGGTTGCCTCAGGGCTGCAGTTTTTCTGGGCGTCTGAGATTTGTCAGGTTGAACAAGGGGCAGTGAATCTGTGAGCCCCAACTGAGATCTACCAAGGAAAGGCTCCTTTCTCTCCCCCCTGGGTCCTGGCGGAGACATTCTCAGGCACATGGGCCACCCGTGGTGTCTAGAACTGGAAAGTGCCAAAGACACACAAATGCAAGATCTACAACTCATGCCTAATGAGAATTCACTAATTCATGGTTCAAATATTTAGGTAAAGAGCCGGGGGAAAGGCATTCCATTCAGAGGGGACAGAATTAAATAAGAGAAAGACTTGACAATATGGAGGTCCTGTTGTTATCTCATTTGGGGGAAAAAAAACACAGGAAAAAAACCACACCAAATCAAAAGGCTTCCTAAAGGCGTCTACGGATCATTGTCTTAACACATTGTTATCGTTTGATCCTTGCTAATGTTGCATGTCTGTGCATAATAACAAAATAGAGTTAACTCAACTTTATTGATTTTAGAGAGAGGGGTGCGGGGAGAGAGAAACATTGATTTGTTGTTCCACTTATTTATGCATTCATTGGTTGCTTCTTGTATGTGCCCTGACCGAAAATCAAACCTACAACCTTGGTGTAGCAGGATGACGCTCTAACCAACTGAGCTACCTGGCCAGGGCAGAGTTAGCTCAATGTTGTACTCAGAGTTACAGAAGTAACAACCCAGAACACACAGACTTGCAGCGTTTTTTTCCTTGTTGCAGTCAGAAAGCACAGTCCTGGGTTAGGAATACGAGGCAGCAATACGGACAACGCTTCTGACATCTTGTCAGATCCAAAAAACCTAGAACCTATAATTATATGTACTATGATTGCAAAAATGTTAAATAGATGGAGTTATGCATGTGTATTAATGGGGGAAATAAAAGCTTGGAAGGAAATTCACCGAAAGGATCATTTTGAAAATCGTATTTTCTAATCATGGGGTACTAGCACTTCAGGTTCCTCTTTAAGTTTGTGACTTGTTCAAGATAAGCTGGGGCTCCCTGTGGCCTTTCTGTGAGAACAGAAGATTCTAGATCGCTTGTCTCTTAGAGAAAGAGCAAGGTGCAGAGGAAAGCAGATAGGCAGGAGCCAGAGGCCCGGTTCTGGCTTTCACTCCCAGGGAATGTTGGAGATCTTGTAGAAGAAACTCAATTTCTTCACCTGCTCCCTGGACAGTTAGTGATGGGTGTCCCTGTGGACCAAATGTGAAGGGACCACATGCAGAAAGCTGCAGGGGTGTAGGACCACAGGGGCCAGGCAGTTGACCTAAGGGAGTGAATGTGCTGGGTAATTTTGACATGGATGTTTTTGCTTCCTAACAATTGAAGACTCTCTTTGATGATCACAAAAAAGATATCCTCCCATTTTTCTTGAAATGCATAAGCCCGTAGGCTTATCTTTTGTTTTTCCACTTTATAGAAACAGGGGGATGGCAAATATTTCTCTTTCCTCTTAACTGTATTATTGGAAAACAAGCATAATGGACATGCCGCTGGCCTTCGGCTCAGTGATGCAAGTGAGGCAAGGACTGTGATGAACTAGAGATTACATACCCAGACTAAATGGCGTCGACTCTTTCACTCAAGCCAATTTCTTCCACAGGGAAATGCTAGCTTAGTGTGAAGGATTTTCCCAATTCCATTTTTAAAAAACAGAAGCCAGAAATCTATGTTTATGTGAAATCTCCTAATTTCTAAATACTAAACATTGGAAATGAACAAGAAGTGTTCATGCCCAATAAAACGCATATGAAGACTGCATACAAGACCAAGGGCTGGCATTTGGAGAGCCCTTCAGGGTTTTTATTGTCTTTTGTCCCTCACACCCCAGAACCCCCTCCCATCTCTCCCCAGTAGAGACCACTTGCAATTCAAAGAGGAAAAGGCAGGGACTTACGATGGAGCTGCTGAAGGCCACCGAAGACTGTGCGTTTTCCCAGCGCCCCTCGGACCTCTGTCGGGAGTGGCCCTGGATGGGTACCCGGGCACTCTGGCATCTCCTCAGAGGCTGGACGCCTCCTGGGATCCTCACTGCTGCTGGGCCCTGGGCCCATCTGGCCGGGAAGGACAGGCACTGGTATTGGGTCCACTCTTCACTGTCTGAGTCCAGCTCCTTTGGGACCTCCAGTCGCTTGGCTGCGGGAAAGGAGTCCTGTTATTGCCCCTCTCATACCTGGGCTGGACTATGGCTGGGGAAATCCCAGACTCTGAGTGGGGGTGAAGAACACCGAGGAAGAACACTGTGCTGCTCTGGCAAGCAGGGAGCTGGCTACCCTGACTGGAGAAAGGGGTGCAACCAAGTGACACAAGGTGCAGATCCTGGCTCTACTACCTTCTCGGTATGTGGCTCTGAGCTTTGGCTAAACCTGTGCCTCTATTTCCTCAGATAGGGGTTAAAAAAAGTACTGAACTCTATGGGTTGTTTGGGAGACTTAGAATACTGTAAGTACTGATGATGGTAGCTGTTTTTATTATTAAAAAGGATCAGAAGAGCCCAGCCGGTGTGGCTTAGTTGAGCATTGACCTATTAACCGAGTGGTCATGGTTCCATTCCTGGTCAGGGCATATGCCCGGGGTTGTGGGCTCCATCCCCAGTGTGGATCATTGCTGTTTCTATCTCTCTCTTCCTCTCTGAAATCAATAAAAAATATATTTTTTAAGGGATCAGAAGTTCCCACATAAATGGTTACTATCATGGTAAAGGGAGTTGGGTTCCCTATGTCACTTTCTCTTTCTCCATCCCTCCCATTTAAAAGAATGAGTGCTCCTTTTTTGAGAGTTTCTTCTCTTAGTTAAAAAGTGTGTGTGTGTGTGTATGTGTGTGTGTGTGTGTGTGTGTGTGTGTGTATGGGAGATGGAGCTGAGGGTATCAGGTCAACTTTACAGGCCATCTTTAGTCCATACAAGATGACAATCTGGGCACTTAATAGCCATATCTGCTAAGCTGAAGCTTTCGAGAGATCACGGAGTATGGAAGACATTTCCCGGGTATATCAAATCTGACCATGCGCCTAGACCTGGCCTGTCCTCTCAGGTAAGGTGACCCTGGGCACATCACTGGGACATGTCCCCAGGCCACTCCTGACAGGTAAAAATGTTGTGTGTAAATGGCACAGGACAAAGCGGACTGGAGGGCAACACACAGATCACTGACAGCCTTGTGAACACATGAAGGTTCCCAGATGGTGAGAACAGCACTGCTCTGTGACTAGGAAGCCCCAGGGACACAGGAAGCTACTTTCCACAAGCCACACAGCCTCTGTGGGGACCCAGCATGACATCTTTAATCACCAGCCTCTAGGAGAGCAGGCGATTCTTTCAGGAAGAAAGATGGGGGCCCCAGGAGGCCTCGTACCATTTTCTTGGTGTGAGTACTCGCTGCCCACAATGGTGCAGCGCCGAAACACCATCTTGTTCTCAGTCAGTGTCCCCGTCTTGTCGGAGAAGATGTACTGGATCTGGCCCAGGTCCTCTGTGATGTTGAGGGCTCGACATTGGATGGACAGATCGGTCTCCTCATCATACAGGTCGAGGTCGTTGTGCAGGAAGAAGACTTGCCCGAGCTTCACCAGCTCAATGGACACATACAGGGAGATGGGGATCAGCACCTGCAAGAGACCGAGTCCCACGGTGTCAGAAGCCAGGCCGGTTCCCTGTGTCAGGACCCTCTCTCATGGGAGGCAAAGGCATTGAATGGAAAGCTGACGTCTACTCGCGTGATGGGCTTTCTCTGGGAAATCAAAGGTTAGTGCCTCATGCCTCCCTTGACATTCTAAGGGGATATGCCTTCTTCAGGCAGGGGTGTCGGAATGAGGCAGGCACTCACCATTGGTTGTTCAATGTAGAGCGGTAAGCGGGTGAGGAGCAGTTGTTCCTCTGTCTGGAGTCCCCCGAATCCCCCTGGATCTCGGTGCCATGGAGGGTGGCCTCCCACTTTTACAGGTGTTCAGACCCATTGTTGATTACTGGCCACTGATACAATACCTAATATCTATTGAGTGCTTTGTGTGAGTCACATATTATTCTAGGTCCTGGACATGGCAGTGAGCAGAACAGAATTCCTGGCCTTGAAGACCTCAAATTCCAACAAACAAATAAATATACACCGGGTAGTGGTAAGTCTCATAAAGAAAAAGTAAAGAGGGTAGAGGGTGCTGGTTGGGAAGGATTCTTATCAACCATGACCTTTGAGCAGACACCTGAAGATGGGGTGTGTCCTGAGGATATCTGTAGGAGGAGGAGCATTCCGGGCAGCCACTGGGCAGTGGGAGTGGGCAGGGTGAGAGTAAGTATGTGAGTGAACAGGACAGGGAGGGTGTCAGGATCCAGATCATTGAGGGCTTGTTGGTGGCAGTAAGGACTTTGGACTTCACTTTGAGAGGATATGAAATCACTGGCGGGTCGGTGCAGAGCAGGGGTATGACCTGATTCACACGTAAAAAAGGATTACTCTGCTAAACAAATGAATGAACAAATGAATGATTCAAAAGAGTTCACCAGTAAAAGGACAATGAAACACCTGCAAGTAGTACAAGAAATTGAGTGTAGATGAAGCTGCCTCATCTTTTCATAGATTAGTTTCTTATAGAGCCTGCACATTTTTTCCTCCTTCTCTCATGTAGGTTCTCTGTGTTTTTGTTTCTTTCTCCTTATAGGGTCAGTACCCTGCTCCCTGCCACCTTGTGTTTTTAAATCTCAAGTGATAAAATACTAAAACACTAATCTGTGGTTTCTTCCTCTCAGTATTTAGGGTTTGACAGGTCTCTGTGCTAGTTTACCTTATTTTATTCCCGTTATTAGGTTTCACCTGTTCAGCATCTGGCAAAGAGCCAGGCACACGTGGGTCACTGCTGTAATCTTACTCTTATATAGAAAAGCCTAATAAGTATTCTTTTCCACAATTATCTGGGAGGAGGGTCCCCTCACAAAGCAGGGCTGGTCCTGACATGACCCCGAATGGGAATACTTTCAAAGGCCCCCACAAGAAAGCAACGAACATTTCCCCATCTCAGTCCAGTCAGTTCCTTCTTGGGACCAGCACTGAATTTTCCTTCACAGAGTTGTATGGTATTGGCCACAGGCCTTCCTAGCCATTAGTGAGAGAGGAGCTCCTACCTGGAGCAGGATGATCATTGTGAGGAACATGTAGAAGCCTCCAAGGGCAAGGGGAGGGAAGCTGCCCTTGGCATCCGGCACATCGAAGGGAGGATGTTCCCTAAACGTCCCGTTCCAGAGGCTGTGACCTGAGAGGAGGCAAAGCCAGGATGAGACAAAAGCTCCACTTAATTCCAAGGTTGGTCAATTACATCAGCCCTTGACCTATTCCTGGATATGAGTATGCTTTGGAGGAGTCCACCCTTATCCTATATAATAAAAAGATAATATGCAAATTGACCCTAATGGTGGAATGACCAGAATGACTGCTTGACCAGTCACTATGAGGCACACTGACCACCTCTTGGTCCCTTCCCCTGGCCATCAGGCTCTGATCGCCGATGGATATCGGGAAACTGGGGGTTGGTGACAGTGGGGGGTGGGGCTGGCAAGCGGGCAGAACGGGCCAACCTCTTGGTTCTTCCCCGCAGCCAGCAGGCTCCGATCACCTGATGGCGAACAGGGAACTGGGGGTGGGTGGCAGTGGAGGATGAGGCTGGTTGTGGGCAGCTGGGGAAGATGGCCCTGATCGCAGGCCAGGCCTAGAGACTGTACCCGCACATGAATTTCGTGTGCTGAGCCTCTAGTTCTATATAATATAGCTGTGTGTGTGTGTGAGTGTACTCATTTAGCTCTGAAGTAGTCCTCCATACAGCCTACGTGTCAGTCTCTTGGTAGGCATTAAGTCTGACCTGCCAGAGGAGATTATCATGGGGATTGCTTACATTTTGATGAAATTCTGTGATATAGGGGTTGGAAATAGAGAAAAGGACACACGTTCTTTACAGTTGTGTGATTGGAAGTGCATGGCTTGGGAGTCCTGACAACCTTTACCTACCCTCTATACTCCCCCCATGCATTCTGGGCTAAGAAAAAAGAGCCACCACCTTCACACAGTCCAAGTAAATGTGTGATAAAGAACCCGGAAGGGAGTTCGCTGAGAGCTTTCACCTCCTGCAGGGGCCCATCGCTGTGTGTGAGTCATTATTCTCAAAAAGAACAGGATTCTGCCCCTCCCATAACTCCCAATTTATGTATCATTTGGGCAATCTGCCAAGCTGATTCTGGCTTGCCTGCACCTTATCTCCCTGTGTGACCTTTTAACCATTAACTTCCTTTCTCTGGGGACATAGTGAGATGATCTCAAATGTCCTTCCCAGTCCTGACATTCCTTAAACAAACCTGTCCTGAAGCAAAGGCAGCCAGCGGTTCCTGCACCTTAAACATTAGCCTGCTCAATTTAGTCAAACATTTAATGAATTCACCCCCAATGCCTTGGCAGGACCAGACCAAATGATTTCTTAGGCCCTATATGGCCTAAGGGCCAGTTCCCCACTCCTGTTAAACCAGTAAGTTGACGTTAATTTTCTGTGCACAGCCCTCCCTGAGGGGACAGTCAGGGATCCTGTCCACGTGCTGGCTCCTTCCTGCTGGACCAGGAGCTGGGACGGGCTCGCCTTGCTATCCTTCACGCTAAGAGAGTGTCTGACTCCTGACAGCATTTCTTGAACAAATAAATGATAGATGATATTCCTAATATTTTGCATAATCAATACTTTCAAAAGATTTCACATTGGCATCCTGTGATCATATAGGGGAGGCTTTATTTTTTATGAACTCTATTTTACAGATGAGGAAACCGAGGCTCAGAGAGTTGAAGCAACTTGTCCAAAGAAAAAGATTACTGTGGCACTGTGCATTGTTCTTTCCAGAACATTCCATACCTACAGCTCCAATGAGGCACATGAGGAAGAGGAGCCCGATGCAGAAGAAGATGTCCGTGTTCATGCGGCGCTCGATCTTGCTGCGTTTGTACCGCGGGCCGCTGTTGTTCAGCATGGCTTTCGTCTCGTGGCCTGCAAGCGAAAATGAGATTATCAGTCTCTTGCCCCCCGTTTGCCTCTGGTCTGGACCATAGCCTTGGCTCTGCTCACAGGAGCCCAGTAACAGAGGGGCCTCCTACCCTTACCTGCCTCTGTCCTGCCTCAGGGAGGCTGCTGAGAACTGCTGGAGAGGCCTCTCACAATTGGTCAGCAGGTACTTATTGAGCATCCCCGACATGCCAGCCACTGGTGGGCATGGACAGAGCTACCATGCTTAGGTTGTGCCCTGCACAGACCTAGATGTATCCCTCATTTTGTAGTTGTCATAGGTTTGTAAGTTTATTATGACACATTTCTGGCAAATGACAGTAAACTGTTTTGAGGGCTTTTTCTAATTTGCACAAAGGCACTGTTATGGGCTAGTGGTGGTATAATACACTGCTAAGACAGATGACTCATATGTTGGTGAAAATATACATGGAAACAAATACATGAGATAACTGCAGTCAGTAATACGTCCCATGAAATAAACAATAAACAAAAGGCTAATAATAAGAGATGGTTTTGGAAAGCATAGTCAGAAGAGGTGACATTTAAGGAAGACTTGAAGGGAGAGAAGATTTGGGAGAAGAAGGTTTTAGGCTGGGGAATAGTAGGTGCCAAGGCCCTGGGGCAGGACACCGCTTGGGGTCAGTAATTTTTGTATTTGTCTCTTGGCGACAAATATGTTGGTGTTGCTTGGGTAAGAGTGGTCAGGGCCAAAGGCCTCTACCCCAACATTAAATCTGTACAGCTCCACTCCTGTCTCGGAATTCTGTATGCATAACGTGTTGTTCAAAGAAAGGACAACAAACTTTGAAAACTACTAATCTCACCCAACCACCCCTTTTTCTAGTTGGAGAAAAGTAGAAGGGACCTGCAAGATAAAGAAAGAATAAATGACCGCCAGAGCCACACTGAGAACCCTGGATTCTAATTCCCAGCCTATTTCTCCTTCCAAGCAGCCCCCGGTGGTAACCAAGCCACACAGCCAGCTGCTGAGTCAAGCTGAGATTCTGTCTTTGGGCAGAGCCTGTCCTCTAGGGCTGCTAACTTTTAACTACCATGCTGTACTCCTTAGCAGTCAAATTAAAAAACACCAATCACATGTTTTCTGTGCAAAATTAAAGAAAACGAATACATCAGCTCCAGCGGTGAATGGTTTTAATGCTGTTTAGCTAGTTGCCCTGTGGATTTAAAGTGGCAACAAAACAGCAGGACTAGCAAACTCTAGGCTTATTAAATTAGACTCAAGTCATTCCAGTTGTGAGGGCGTTTGCATGACACAGTGAGCACAGCCTGACTGTGCTGACGACACTGCCTTCCTGACTTCCTTAGGGTCACCCCATACAAGGGGTCCCAGGACTACTCTCTTCAAACACCTGCTCCTCACCATTGAGATCCCTCTGTTCTTTTGGCAAGAGCTGGGCTCAAGGGGGGAGGCTGCACGGTGTAGCAGTTAGAACGTGGGCTCTAGAATCAGAGCTAGACTCTGCAGATGCTTGATCTTGGGTTACATACAATTAATACCAGCAGACAAGTGACCTTGAGTGAATGATTCCCTTTGCACCTCAATTCCTTGTCTGCAAAATGGGAGATAATGGTTGTGTATGTATTTGGGGCGAGGGAGTGGATTAATATACACAAAGTACCTCAACGCATTCCTTGTACACAGTAGGGGAACACACCTCCACACTCGATCTCTTCCTCTACAAAGCTCAGTTTGGCTTTTTGGAGCCTTAGATACTGAGGATACTCCTGTTTTGTCCATCCATATTGTCCAGGGAGAGACTCTAGACTAGTCGTTCTCAACCAGGGGGATTTTACTCCCCAGGTGACATTTGGCAATGGCTTGAGAACGTGGTGCTAAGAGCATCTAGTGCAGTGGTTCTCAACCTTCTGGCCCTTTAAATACAGTTCCTCATGTTGTGACCCAACCATAAAATTATTTTCGTTACTACTTCATAACTGTAATGTTGCTACTGTTATGAATTATAATGTAAATATCTGATATGCAGGATGGTCTTAGGCAACCCCTGTGAAGGGGTCGTTCGACTGTCAAAGGGGTCGCGACCCACAGGTTGAGAACCGCTGATAGTGGCTATAGGTCAGGGATGCTGCTCAACATCCTACAAGGCACCTCCCACCACCACCAACAGTCCGGACCTGTAAGTCAATCGTGCCAAGATTGAGCACCCGTGCTCTAGATGATAACACTGAAAATAATTAGTACTCTTTTTGCTCACATTTTTTTGAGAACCTAATATGTGTTGGGCATTGTGCTAGCCCATTTCACAGGTCATTTCATTTGAACCTCATGCCCCTACAAGATAGAACTCTTAGTGCACCCCTGTTGAAAGCTTAACCAGCTAGCACTGGAATGTGCAGCTGGTGAGTGGATTTGAACCCAGGCAGCCTGACCCCCAGAGCCACAGGGAGCTCTCTCTAAACCTATCCCCTCATACAGCATTCCCATCATTCACATAGAGTTTTTTCTTTGTTTCTGGTCACTCAGAAAAGCAAACTCTAAGTCCATGAGTGTTTTCTTGCTGGGGCAGGGATTGCTACATAGCCCACCTTTAGTGGGTCTACCAGATGGCACTGAACTCATTACCAAAAACCCTTAAAAACAGTCATCTGAACTGACAAATACAACCTCCCTTCCCCCAAATTATGGAAAGCTAGCTAGATTGTGTCATTATTTGTTTAAAAACCTGTTTGTGTGGGGTTTTTTTTTTTTGATAGTCCCAAAAAGTGAATCTTAGGGTAGATTGATGTTTAGAATGCCCTTCTATGTCCATCAAAAGTGGGGTTCTACTCAGACCAAAACAAATCAAACAAAACAAGCAAACAAAATACTACAAGGTATCCTAGTGAATACAAGACCCAGAGACATGTATTTTGGAGTCCTCCTGTGAGAGTAGACACCTCGGGGAGACCGTGTTTCCCCTACAGAGGAAGAAGTCTGCAGCTGTCAATGTTACAACCGATATTGAGAACCCATGGAGCATCAGTTTCTAGGTACCAGGGATACAGTAGTCATAAGACTTTAGATTTCATTGTAAGATGTGTTGCTATCTTTTTAATTGGGAAGCAAAATGGCCGTGGCAAGGTCAGATACACCATCATAACTGCAGCCATAACATGAATAAAGATAAATAATAATAACTGCAAAACACAATGAAAAACCATCACATTTTTACATGCTAGATGCAGTGCTTTTCATGTGTTGGGTCATTTGACCCTCACAAGTACAAAGGCAGATACAAATGTTTTCCCCAGTGGATAGATGAGGAAGCCGAGGCACAAAAGGTGAAGTTATTAAGTTTGGTGAGGTATTCCTCAGGCTCAGGAAGATACACTTCATCTTGCCTATATAGTTAGTGTCACAAAACAATTGGAGGTAAAGGAGCAGGAATCTCCCTCCCTGTCTTGTTCAGTTGAGTGACAGTAACTTGGAATCTAATTTACGTCTCCTGTGGACCGAGTGAGCAGCTGTGATTCCAGCCTCAGTTTGCTTAGCTGAGAAATGGGAAGTTACGTGACTCGACCCCTTAGAACTGATGTGAGTTTCCCCTGGTGGAGATGGATTTGGAGAAGGGGATAGAGGAGGGAAGGTAGGGAGGGACCAAAGAAACTGTCCAGGGACAATGACCTGCATAGATGACAATGCCAACAGCCACCTCGGTGTTTCTGATGGTGCAGCCTCGGAGCAAAAGACTCTCACTGCCAAAGCCGGTCCTGGTCTGGTCAGGATGCTCCCTGGGGATGAGGAAAGACAGGGAGTGGTTTAATGGCTTCACCATGCCGTCACTGGGCACAATGGTATCTCCATGGCATCCCAGAACTAGAAGCAGTGAGTGAACACGATCCCTATCCTCCTTCTTTTTCAGAAGAGGGATATTAGCTTGGAATCTAGTCTCCATGTTCAAGTGCAACTCCTGATTGTCCTGGGAAGCTGGACCCTGAGAGGGAATGACCCACCCGAAGGAAATCCTCATCCCCCACCTGAAGGGGATCTGGCTTCTGGACCTACAGGGACGCATGTGTTCCCTCCAGGCTGTGGTCTCGAGCTTGCTGTCACCTGGCTACAGGGACAGAACTGCACAAGCTGACCATCCGAGTCCACAGCCGACACCAGGCAGTCCTGTCTCTTGGACGTGAGCCGGGTCAGGAAGGGCAGCTGGCGGGCTCCTCTCCTCCAGCTCCTTCTCTCGCTGGCCTTGCTCCTGTACCATCCTCCTCTGGCTCCATCTCATAAAATAAACAGACCTCAAGGGAGGTGGGCAGGGGCCTTGGTGCGATGTAGGGGAGGCGACTTCTTAGAGCAGGATTGAGTTTATTTTTCTTGCTCCAGGCTCAGGGAAATTGCACTTTTTTTGTTGCACACTAGAAAATTCTGAGTCCAACTAACACCAGGTTTTACCCCGTATCTGGCCCTTCTTCCACCTGATGCCTTTCCTTTGGGAGTTTTCAGAAGTTTAAACATAACTTCCCCACAACATTGGGGTGAAGAAAAATAATAATCAGAACCTTTAGGGCTTTTTCTCCTTCTAGGTCTTCAATACTTCCTTTTCCAGGGCTGGTATATGTGGGTTTTTTTAAATGTATTAACTCAGTCATCATGACAGCCTTGTAAGATAGGGTCATGTAATTGTACCCACTTTATAGATAGGGAAACTGAGGCAAGTTCAGAGAGATAGTAAGGGGCAGAGCAGGATTCCAACCCAGGAAGCCTGGCTCCAGAGTGCTCTATTGTAACTCAAAATATCTTTTAATACGAATTATTCCTTACTGTGTTTACAAACTGCATTGTCTGATGTTATTTTATTTGACTTTTCAAGGCTCTGGGAAGGAAGCAGGGTGGTCATCCTTCCTCGTGAAAAAGGTGAAGCTCAGAGAGGATGACAGAGTTTCCCAAAGCCACACACCTAGGACATGGGGCATCCTAGGACTCGGGAACCCAGGCCACAGACACCAAACCTCCTGCAGGTTTCACTTAGGTTTCTCTAGCTGTTCTTTGTGATAAAAAAAAGAAAGAAATTTCCTCAGGACCCGAATGCTTATTTGTTAGGCCATTTTAAGGAAAAAATGTTTCTTGCTGAAGAGGAGATATTTACCAGCGGCACGTGGGCATGAGATACTTACATGTAACCCTTGAATTTGTTGAGACGGTTGTTGGGTTTCTCACACACGATGGTGTTGTGGAAGTGTTCTGGTTTGAACTGGGCCTCCTGTGAAAG